TGTGAAGAGTGTTCGCCGCCTCCCGCTGATGATCAGTCTGACAGGAGCTCTGTGAGTGTGTGTGTGTGTGTGTGTGTGTGTTTAGCGTCTGTCACGCGTGTCACTGCACTCACACACATATCAATTACTCCTGCATCTGTAAAACACTCAGTCAGAGCCCAGAGTCAAGCACGTCTCTCGCACCGCTGAACCTTTAATAGCTTGTCATCATTTTGATAGAAGATAGAAAATGGTCTGTTTTTGCATCTGAAAAGCAAAACCACTATTTCTTGACCTAGATTCTCAAAGCATGAAATCTGTTGTACTCCAAAGTTTTGCAGTTGTGAAGTTGGTCTTGAGTGAAGCAGTCAGTGGTCGTAATATTCCTGTATTTTGATGTGTGGGAGCTTCAGTGAATTTGAGTGAATGTTGCTTCTAAATGTGTCTGATGTTCTGCTAGGCAAACACAGTCTGATGTTTTGATGAGCTATCTATCTTTCTATCGATCTATCTATCTATCTATCTATCTATCTATCTATCTATCTATCTATCTATCTATCTATCTATCTATCTATCTATCTATCTATCTATCTATCGTTCTATCGTTCTATCGTTCTTTCTATCATTCTGTCATTCTATCTATCGTTCTATCTGGCCTATAAAACTATAAGTTTTTTTGTTTGTTATTTAAAAAAAAAGTTTTTAACTTTTCAGGCTATCGTTCAAAGACTCTGTCAGCAACCTTTGCTTTTCTAGATAAAAATTCAGTTGAATTTCTTGGAATATGAAATCGTTTAAGTTCTACTTACATTAAATTTGTTTAGTTTTTTTGGTCTGTGCAAACATTTATTTGCAATTCTGTGTCCTCTTTTCTACCTCCATTCAAATTTGGGAATTGATTTGGCGTTTAAGAGTTATTTTCAATGGGATACACTGGGATAAAATAAAATTGACTTGCTTTTACCTTTACAAATCAGTCTAAGGGTACGCAGATCCCTAGTTAGGGTGCATTAATCAGCGGAAGAGCTGTGACTGTTGTGAAGACGAGCATTCTCATGGGGTTTTGGCTGCTTTGGTGTCCTGCCCTGTTTTCTTTGGTAATCTTCACTGATTAAAGGTCTCTGAAAGCGGGGCTGTGTGTGTGTGTGTGTGTGTGTGTGAGCTTGTCTTAGATGGTATCTGATCCTTAAGAAATTATTTTTCTCCAGTGCTTGTTCCTGTCATCCTCTCCTCCTCATTAAAGTGGATTTAGTGACTCAGTGTTTTGGGGTTTGGTCTTTCCTGCGCGATGTCACGCTTGAGATCAGCTCGCTAATGCTGGGCGTTTAGTTAGCTTTGGCGCAAAACACAAGTGTGTCAGTGTGTGGTTTTTGTGTGTATGTGTGTGTGTGTGTGTGTGTGTGTGTGTGTGAGTATGTTTACTGTGGGTTTTGAGTGGTGTGGTATTTAGTGGTTTTTGTTAAAACATCATTGTTGCTCCTACTAAGTGCTAAAGAGATTGTTGAGCCAAAAATTTAAATTCTGTCATCATTTACTCATTTTCATTTATGCATTTTGCATTTGCTAACCCTCTCATGTCATTCCAAATCTGACTTTCTTTCTTCTCTGAAACACAAAAGAAGATATATAATATATATAATACATATAGAATATATGTATATTCATTTTCATTTTCATTTTATGGTGAACCTTTTAAGGATTTGAACAAACCCCAAACAACTTTGGCAAGTAATTGTCTTGCACATAGCAGTCTCTTACAATCTCTTTTTATTTTAGTATTTATATACTATTTAAGTATTTATTGTAATTTTGAATTAGATTCTATTTTTATATATTTTTAATATGTTTTAGATTTTATTTTTGTTTGTTTTAGTTTTCATTTTATTGTTAGTTTTATTCATGTATTTGTATTTTTTATATTTTTATGTTTTAGATTTGATTTTTTTATTTATTTTAGTTTTAACTTTATTGTTAGTTTTATTAATTAATGTATTTGTCATTTTTTTATTCCATTTATCTTAATTTTTTTCAGTTTTTCATTTTTTTGTAATTTTATTACTTCAACTTATTTTTATTTCAGTTTTATTTTTATTTCAGATTAATTTGCATCAAACTGATTTGTAATAGTTTTGGGTTCAGTTTTAGTTAACAATAACAACACTGTCAACCGTTTTCATTGTAATTTTGGTTTAAGTTTTTTAATTTTGTCATGGTTACTAGTTTTTGTTTTGCATTTCTATTTAGCTTTATTTTTATTTTAGTTGTGGTAATTTTATCACTTCCGCTATTATTTTAGTTAGTTGCCAATAACTATTTCTAATTTCTATTTGTTTTTTTATCTTTATTTCAATTAATGAAAACTCATTTTAATAGTTTTTGTTTTAGTTTTATCTAACAATAACAACACCTATCTGTCAACAACCATCCAAATTTGCCATAACTAGTACTTCGCAATGCCATAGCAACTACTCAAAGCACCTTAGCAACCATTTAGAACACTATAGCATCATGCTGATGGTGAGTTTTGCAAATAGCTTCAGAAAATGTAAAAATCTAGTTTGTGGTTGAAATCTTTTTAATAGTGAGAGACAGAAAGAGAGAGACAGAGCTCTGGAATGAGTCCTGTTCTTTTGGATGTATGGCCTCATAACTCTGAAATGAGAAAGATGGGAAGGAAAAGGAGGAATCTACTTACAGCTAATCTACTCCCTCACACGAAACCAAAGACACACACACACACAGAGCTGTGGAAAGTGTGTGAGGGGAGTGTGGTAGGTTAATAGCAGCAGAGGGAGTGACACAGTTTAAGAGTTTAAGAGCTTCTGTGTCTTTCTCCGGAAAACTCAGATGGGAAGAGCATCACCTCTCCTCAACACAAGAGTTAAACACTCCAGTGTGTGCGTGTGTGTGTGCGTGCGTGCGTGTGTGTGTGAGTGTGAGTGAAGGTAAAAGGATCCGTCAGCTGAATATAGACTCTCACATGCATACCAAACACAGTTGCTCGCAGCACAGTTCACTTCTGTCCGTTTTCTGCCTCTCCCAATATTTGGTTTACCTCTCTTTTACTTGAATGAGAGCCAAACTGGAGATACTTGAACAAAACTTGATGATCATGTTGTCCTGAATAATGTGAGATGTTACAAAGAGCATCACATGATCGTTGACACTCATTTACTTACCTTGGATTAGTCACCTAGAAATAGTGCGCAATCTGAAACATTTCTTTGTCTGAAATATTTTTTTTTGTCAGAACTGTAAAATGCAAAACTATTTTCACTATGTATTTTCATGTCAGATTAACATTTTCTATGGCCATGAGCCATAATTGCATTAATTTACTTTCTCAAAAAAATATAATATAATATAATATAAAACTGTAAATGTATTAAATACAACATCAAATAAGCATTTATTTGATAAATAAACATTTATATTTTATTTACAATACAATATATTTAATTTATGAAAAATATAAATTAAAATACAAAAGTTTTTATATTATATGATATTATACATTAATATTACACTGCTGTTCAAAGTTTGAAGTCAGTAAGATTTTTTTTTATTAAATTAATACTTTTATTCAACAAGAATACATCAAATTGATCAAAAGTGACAATAAAGATATTTAAATTGTTACAAAAATTAATTTTAAATAAATTAAGCTCCTTTGAACTTTCTATACATCAAAGAATCTTGAAAAATTGTCTTGTTTTCCAAAAAAAAAAAAAATTTTTTTTAATATATTAAAATAGAAAACGGTTATTTTAAATTGTAATAATATTTCACAATATTACTGTTTTACTGTATTTTTTTTAACAAATAAATGCAGCCTTGGTGAGCATAAAAGACTTTCAAAAACATTTTAAAAATCTTACCAACTCCAAACTTTTGAGAGGTATTGTTGCATTGTTATAGTTTGTCATGTCAGCTTTATTGCAGTTAACAAAACCAATGTTAATGAATCACAAATGGGAGTTTTCATAAAGATCAGAGATTGTAATCATGATACTACTCTGGAACTAATTACGATATTTCAGACATGACGTAAACGCACAGTGAGGTCAGTTCTTAAACCTGAAAGAAACACGATGAAGAATTTGGTTCCGATTTTTTTCTTCCATTGATATTTTTTTCATTTGGCAGTCACTTTTATCCAAAGTGACTTCCAAATGAAGATTTCCTTCCATAAACAGAATGATGGAAAATTCACTGTGAGACTATTGAATTACAAGTGAGGAACTCCTTTCATAAAAACTTGATTCTTTTCCAGTCCAGTTTGAGTTCTTCGCCTCTTGATAGCATCAGACAAATGCATCTTTTTCCAGGACCATCAGTTCAGCTTTCAAGCCAGACACTTCCCCTATACTTTGGCCCCTAGGGGCCCCTACGGGCCGAGCACATTTCCATTCCCTCCTGCCGGTGAGAGTGAGTTCGCTGTGAAGCAGGTGAGATTAAAGCATCTGCAGGCAGCAGGAGAGATGCCACAGTCACACGCTAATGACTGACCCGCATACTGCAGCCGGATCCACAGACTACACCAGAGCAGAGGATGCATCATCTTTTCTTTTCTTATTTTAAATTTTTCAGTTTAATTTCTGTGTGCAATATGCACAAGGTGGACAATGAAAGAGATGCCACAGTCACACGCTAATGACTGACCCGCATACTGCAGCCGGATCCACAGACTACACCAGAGCAGAGGATGCATCATCTTTTCTTTTCTTATTTTTAATTTTTCAGTTTAATTTCTGTGTGCAATATGCACAAGGTGGACAATGATGGGGGCTTTGCGTGTGAAATATTACTCATTTCACGTGCAAAGAGGTTAGCCAGTCATAGTGTGGCTCATTAACATTTTTAAAACTACCCTTGACTAACGTATTAATGGACAAGGAATAAAATAGAATGCTACAATATGGCCTCTTTAGTAACAATAATCAATCTGCCTCATATCACAGCAGAAGCACTTCTTATTTTTTTCTGCTGATCTCTGTTGTTTCTGGTGTGTGTGTGTTTAGTTGACGGCGAGTGGGCCGACTGGAGCAAGTGGTCGCCGTGTAACACTGAGTGCACGCAGTGGAGGAAGAGAGAGTGTAACGCTCCTGTGCCTCAGAACGGAGGGAAGGACTGTGACGGAGTCACACTACAGTCACAGAACTGCACTGATGGACTCTGCCTACAAAGTGAGTGCACTTACACACACACACACACACACACACACACACACACACACACACACACAGACAGAGTCAAGTCCGGCTGGATTCGTTTACAGTCAACATGTCAAAATCTAGACTATTTACTTTCTTAAAGGGGTCATATGATGCGATTTCAATTTTTCCTTTCTCTTTGGAGTGTTACAAGCTCTTGGTGCATAAAGAAGATCTGTCAAGTTGCAAAGACTAAAGTCTCAAATCCAAAGAGATGTTCTTTATAAAAGTAGATGATAAGAGTCAGCCACACCTACCTAAAATGGCTCGTTCTAACACGCCCCCACATGTCTACATCACTATGTGGGAAGATTTGCATAACGCCGCCCAAATGTTCACGCTATTCAACTTTTATTCTCGCTGTAGTATTGTTGTTGCCGCAGCCATGTCGTGAAGGCACCGTGTGTTTCGTTGTGAAAGCGAAACTACTTTGTTTGGTCTTCCAAAAGAGGACGATATCAGCTTTGTCATGCCTGGAGCTGATACGTGCTGGTCGCTGAGGAAATACTTCAACTTCGCGCTGTCAATCGCCGGATCGGCTTTCACCGTGGACGAAGCGGAGTCCAGCCCGGGGTCGTCACATGTGGTTGCCGCAGGTATCACAGTATGGTGAGGGGCGTAACATTTCCGTCACGCTTTTCAGACCTATGAGCTTTGTAAAAATCCACGCGTTTCAAAAAGGCAGGGCATAGAGGAGAAGAGGAGAAATACAGTATGTGGAAAATAATGTGTTTTTTTATCCTTAAACCGCATAAACACATTTCATTACACCAAATACCCAAATACACAATCTTTTTAGCA